GCTACTCAACAAATATTTGGATACACTAATAAAAATACAATTTGATATTCCAGAAATAATCAAGAAGAAAATCTGCATCAGGTTACAGAAGGAATTCACAGAAGATCACATTTGTAAATCATGCAACTCAGAATCACAAGGAGAATTTGAACCTATCCAGGAATGATGTAAGTGCTTACATCAGAAGGCCAATAATGAAGAAAAAGAAGAGCAGATAGGGGAGGTTCCCACCTCTTTTATAATCTGTCCGTTTGTAATAATAGGAGCAATAATGTAATGGGATGGTGAGTAACCATCCACCGTTACCTTATCTTTTCTAAAAGTCATACAACTCTTTGATGTAATATGTCTACCATGTGAAGTCAGAGGTAAGGAGGCAGAGTTGTATCTCTCGCCTATAAATAAGTGTCTCAAACTTCATTTGAGGACACATCAATTTGAAATAAAATCCTTTCATATAACATTCTTCCTTTCACAAGATATTATGCTTTCATATATAATAAGTTCCTAAATACTTAGAAAATAGAAGAAGAAAGATTGAAAGTGTTAATTGATTAAGCGATAATCTCTCTGGAGCACTGGAAGTTCTGTGAAAAGGCCAAAAGCTGGTAAGCGTCAAGGCCATTAAGTCCAGAATTGTGTTGAGAGCAGGCGGAATCAGGTAACCCTCTTAATCAAGTATTTTTATATCTATCTTGTTAAAAATTGTTATTAATTCCTTAATACTGCAGAAAATAAATGATTTTTGGAATATGTCATATAAAGAAATATATAGAGATATAAATTGCCTAAAATCATTAATAGAACAAATTGTTTCATTAACAAAAATGTTAAAAGAAAATGAAGAAATATTATTCGATCTAGTTAAAGTTTATATACATAAAGAATGTCCAGTAGAAGATGAAGTTTATTTCCGAATATGTGATGATATCACCTCTATTAAAGAGTTAATAAAGAAAGCCGAATATCAAGCATCCATTCTAAGTGTTCAAATAAGGCTAAGAATTCTAAATATAAGATAATTAAAGATATAAAATGGAAAACGAATATCATGTTATAAGGAATATAGAAGAACAAGGAATTTATCTATCAGATATATTATTAGATAAAAAAGTAGTAACAAAAGTAAAGAATAAAGGAAATTTAGATTTAGAAAAGAAAGAAGGAATAAATAATAGTATACTAGAAAAACTAAATAGAAAAAATATAATACATTACGGAATAATGAATGGAGAACAACCGATTAGAATAGAACAAACAAATTATAATTTTCAAGCACCTTTAGTTGAAATAAATCAAATAGAAAAAAGATTAGAAAAAATAAAAGAAGGAGATAAGATAAGTTATATACATATAAACACGATACAAATAGTATTACGATCAACATTTAGAGAAGGAATAAAAACACCCGTAAATATAAGAGTTGAAGATAATAGAATTATGCATAAAGAATCAAGAAAGTTAGGAGAAATAGAAGGAGATTTAGGGTATGGAGTAATTAAATTTAATATATCATTACAATTTCTTATACCATTATCAACCAAGAAAATTAATAACTGTATAGGAATGATATGTAATTTTCAAGAAAAAACATTAATGGGATCAGGAGATATACCTATGGTTGTTTGTTATAGAATAGCCTATGCATTAAGCAATAGTAGTTTAAGTATGAATTATCAAAATCAAGAAAGAATATATACAGAAAAATTATTCAATGAAACTTGTACTATTATTAAATAATGATAGAATTCAAAAAGAATTTTTAAGAGAACATAGTAGACGATCATTTAGTAATCCTACGAATTTAGGAAAAATGACTGAAAATAGTTTATTAAAAATTCAAGAAATTGAAGAACCTCATAGTAGCAATAGTTTATATAAAGGGGATAAAAAAATAGAAAAATTAAATAAACAGGTAAATGAATTAAGCTCATTAGTAATAAAATTAAATAATAAAATATAAAATGGAAAGGAAATATATAAATCTTGAACTAGCTGAACTCTTCATAAAAGAAATCAAAGAGACTGATTATTTAATAGAAAAAACAATTCAATATAAATATATAGAAAAAGATGAACAAAAACTAAAACAACTAGATTGTGATATAAAAAGACATAAACAAAAATCTAAGAAATTACATAAAATAGGACCGCCTAAAACGATAATATAAAGATGGTATCAGAGCAAGACAATAATTGAATATAAAAATGAGTACAAGAAAAATATATTTTGACATAGAATAGAAAATACAAAATATAAAAATGGATATAACAAGATATATCTATTTACATGAAATTACAAATTTAGATTTTTATTATGATATGATGATGATAAGTGAACAAATATTAAAAAAGTTAATAAATAAACAAAAACAAGTAACAATTGCATAGTAAAAATACTACATGAAAATTACCATTAAAAAGGATATGAGCACTCCAATGGGTGCCACCCTCGCGGGTGGCATCGAGTGAACCGTTAGACTGATCTATAAACAGATGTTCACGCTTTGTAAGGGTTTTGGGAGTAGGTTTGGGGTAGTCTCCTTTTGGTTTTGGGAGAAGGTAATTTTTTAGAGTTTTGACTAGGTTATCAAAATTGGACTGGTCATCGAACTAATCAAGTTATTGGTTCAATGGTTTATTGGTCCACCAAGTGATTGAACCGTTATTTAATGTATTAATATTTTTAAATATTATATAATATTCTTAAATATATTTTAACTTAATTTCAAGTTATTTAATTTATTGATATTTGAAAATATATAATACTAATAAGCTCATTTACACGATTATAATCAAAATTTATAGTCATCGAACATAAGAATTTTTTTTATGATTTTTTATTTAAAATGAGGTGCAATTAGTTTTTCATACTTGCAACATACAATTATAAACTATAAATTTATAACAAAGTGTGGGTGCGTTTTATAAAAAACAATAAGACAAAGTTGAAAATTATGGAAAAAGAAAATTTCCTACAGGCTCCACTCACGCGGTTAACAAATGGAATTCTTTTTGCATGCTTGTCCTACATCGCTTTACATAATAGGTGAGTAGCATTATATATGTGTAAGAATTTATTTGCTTCACCAAACCAAAGAAACACTGAGCGGTCAAACTGTTCGGTTTTTGACCGGTTTTAACCGGTTCAACCGACCGTTGACCAATTTTGCTGGCAGTCGGTTTGTTCTATAAAATTGAACCGGTAGAGTGACTGGTTCACGGTTCAACCGGTAGGACTGGCCTGTCAGGTCCGGTTTTGATAACAGTGATTTCGGGAAAAATTGGGTGTTTTGAGGAAATGGTGAATAGGTTGATGACAGTGGTTTTGGGAAAATTGGGTGTTTTGAGGAAATGAAGGAGGAAATGGTTAATAGGTTGTGAACTTTCTCGTTATTAGCCAAAGAAAATGCCAATAATTAATTTACAGGGTGGATGATGTTAAGACGTTAGGAGCTTGTTTAGCAAGATTATTAGAGAGATGAAAAGCGAAGTGGATCGACATTAAAAGAGCTATGGGGGCATATTTTGAAGATTTATCAATCTCATAGAGGTAAAAAAATTGAGATTCAATTTTTCCAGTTCATATTTCACAATAGAGAAGACATGAAGAAGGTGTTGTTAGGAACAAATTGGAGCTTCGACAATCAATTTTTAGTCCTTCAAGAGATTAAGACGACATAAACAACAATCACAAAGGTTTTTTGATGAGATTAATATGTGGGTTCAAGTACATTGAATTGGTTGAGTGCTGAAGTGGGGCTCAAGATAGCAAGAGTTTTTAGTAAAATGAGAAACGTGGTAGTGGTTAGTGCAAGGAGTTATGGAGGAAAGATAATGCGGCTGATAGTTTTTGTGAACGTGGAAGAAGAAGCGTTGCCCAGATGCACTAAGATTAGATTTGGGAAGCAGCAGGTTAGTGTAACATTCAAGTATGAAAAGTTAGTGAGTTTGTATTTTTATTGTTGAATGATGCGGCATATAGACAAGGGTTTTATAAAAGAATGAATGATATAGCTAATGAAGTCATTGTCGAGGGATAGTTGTAGATTGCACGAGAGCTAGTGAATATAGCATTGGGTGGAGGTCACTAACTCAAGGTCTTTTGGGTCTCAGTCAATTTTGCACTTTATCAGTTATCTTCGTTTTCCTGTCGAATATAGCTTTTTGCATAATTTGTTTCGCACTTTGTGAAATGAAAAAGTTAACTTAATATTTGACGGTATGAAAATGTTGTTCTATCTTGACACCAACGGGGTAAAAATAATTATTTAATCTTTTAAACAAGTCATAGAGTGTCCAATGATTGACTTGTGCACCCCTATGACCCGATGGGCTGCCTGAACAATTTTGCCGGATCAGAAAGCCCAACCCTATGATTGACTTACCATTTCCAATTTCATGCCAGAAGAAAACAGCGATGCAGAAAAACCAGGTTCGTTCATATTCAATCTTCTCCATCTACTCTGTACCATTCCCCAATCAACTTCTGCAAATTTTTCTATCAAAATCTAGCTTCATTTATTGTGAACAGTATATAATCTCTCCTGGTAAACCGTTGTTGAATTGCTTGTCGCAATTTATTTTGTTTTCTCCGATAATGCGCGTACTGATTCCAGTCACTGACATAGTTGCCTTGCATTTTGGTGTTTATGTTTTAAGTTGAAAGAACTTAGCTGCTTGTGTTATTTGGATTTATATGCTTTGTCCGCAAGTTATTTGAAGAACTCCTAGATGATAATGCTTGTGAAGTTGGACGTTTATTTTTCTTGTGGAGTTAACTTATTCACTCGCCGTCTTGAAATGGGAATTTATCGGAGTATTGCTTATTTGTTTTGGTAGGTTGTTATCCGTCGACATAGTTAGTATCTTCAATTGATTTTGGATACAAGATTTCGATGATTTTGCAGGTGCTAATTTGAAATCTAAGGAGTGTTGAACCCATTTAACAATGTGCCCAAGCCATACTATGTGTTGACAAGTAGTACGGTGCCTTACCAATGGCAGAGTGTGTTGCCATTCCAGTCGATGTCAAGCTGCCAGCTTGTAGGCATGTCTTTATGGCTAGGACTTCACATCTCCCACCCAGAAGGTTCTAATAAATTCAATTCCCTTATGATGGTGCAATTGAACTTGTGATTGTTATAATAATTCCTACCTATTTTCATATCTTTATTTTAGGAAGTATCATGGTAGCAATGGAATGAACCGTTTTTCATCATGGAAGGCTCCCAAACTAATTGCTTCTAATTTAAGAAATCCAAACGGAAGCACAAAGTTGAAAGCTTGTATCAGGTGTTATAGCTTGAGTTCTGTAGCCAATGCTAATGGTGCAAGTATTGCTGAATGGGTTCCATTCGTGGACCAAGGTCTTCTTGTAGCAAGTATAACCCTTACTTATATGGCTGGAGTAATTTCCATGGAGAAATCGCAATATAATGCTAAAAAAAGCATTCCTCTAATTGATGTGATTCCTGGAAACTCTTCCCCTGGTAGGTAAGGAAGGTTAGTGGGTGGAATCTCATTATGGTTTGCCAAATCTCAGTGTGACAAGATAGAAATGAATGTTCCATGAATTTGAAAATCCAACTCCTGAGGTATTGTTTTTATTAATTTCAGTACAGTTTCAAGTGATGATGAAGTTCCATTGCAGTTTGCCTGGGATGTTGTGAGAGGGAAGTTAACAGAGGCCTTATCTGCTATCAAGAGAGGGGAAAGTTTTGTTGATAGAATTGGCGAACTGGAACAAAATTCCACAAGGCAAGCTTCATGTTTGAGTGCTATAGCTGAAGGTCCCAGGATAAGGTTGCTGTGTGCATCTCTAAAGTGGCTCAACAAAGAGGTTGGCACTTTATGTATTGTTGCTTTAGACTTTTTTCTATTCCTTCGTCGTATTGTTTGGAGGGTGAGTAATTTTTTCACTATGGATGTTTGTCCCCTTGAAGATAGTATTAGCTTGGAAAAGGTTCATGTCCTAGGACGTTAGTGTTTATCGAGGAGACAAGGCAGATATATATATTTTTTTATTTAAAAATAGAAAACATTTATCCTCTTTTACCTGACATTGGCCATTTATATGTTCTTATTTATCTATCTAAAGGTTCTATTCTTTCCTTTTTTGTTTTTTGTCAGTAACTATTTCTATTCAAAATTTAAGCTCTGCTACAGATGGAGTGGGTAAAATATTCTCAGTAATGTTTGGGTTTCTTACTGCAGATAGCAAATACTGCAAGCGCTGAAACAAATTCTGCAAATGATTTCTTGTCTGTCTTCTCTAAAATTATTGAAAACTGCTGTCAACCTCTTTGCATGGCATGGCTGGAAGAGGAGCTTTGCATCGTCTCCGGGAAACATGACAAGGCATGCCATATATGTAGTAACATCAGATCAAAATACACTCTTAAATTTATGTTAATTTTGAGTTGAAGGAAGAATGGAGCTATTATATTTATAACCATCTTCATTCCCTTTCTCTATTAGGAGTTCTTTTCATTGGCCGAGCAAAAGTTAACTGGATATGACAACATAATTCAAAATATCAGAAAATCAGGCAAGGAATATCTGTATGCGGAGTTGGTTTATGCCCTTGGGTTTGGTTCTACCAGGTAAAAACTAGAGTAATCCAAGCATTTCCCTCCAACAGTTTTTGGTGGTCAAGTTTTTGCTGTATGTTTCCTGCTCAACCATTAGTGACTACAAAATGCATTTTTTCGCTCTTTCTGAATGAATTATGCAAATAAAGTAAATGTGTCGGAAGAATTGGAAGAAATTTTGACAGCATAAGAAAGATAAGTTGATGTTAAAAATTACTTACTATGAAGCTTGTCATTTCTTTTCATCCTGTCAAGTCTGCGTTCCGGTATAAGTTTTAAATCCTTTAAGCTTTTGGTTTCAATTTCTCCGTAACCTGCGTGCTGGAATGTGCTTTGTTAAGATCCTCATTGTATTTGTATGCAATATATTTATGCACCCACAGGAAGGGTGGCTATTACAATGGTAGCTTGTTTATCCAGAATGGAGTGGCTATATTAGAAGATTTGCTTATCACACTAGCAGACGGCATTGCGAGCATGTATTTAGAGCTTATATCCGTTGACAGTAGCTTGTGTAATGAAATGAACAACCTGGGCTTGAGCTTGTGTACCCTGTCGACCAGAGCTCTTCAGAGATTGCGCAATGAGGCATGATTTTTCTTCTTTTTCGGTTTTGTCCTTACCTTTTCTTCCACCTTTTCTTTTTTTTTCCTTCATTTATTTAGGGTGAAATATGCATGTGTAATAGTTTTGCGTTTTGAACAATTATTTGGATATAAAATTATATTCTGGATCCTATTTCTACTAGAAAAGAGGCATAGTAAGTATGAGTTAAATGAAATTGCTGATTGATCTACAGAGTCCAAAGAGATTTACTTCAATGAAGTTTTTTTAATGTTTTGTTTAACTTCCTGATTGAGCAAAGGAAATTATGTGGAGCATGCAATTCTTTATTTGGCATCAAATTTTGAATACTGTTCATGATCTCTTGGTGATATCATTCTTGTAAAACAGCCACCTCAGTGCACACATTTGCTCTTACTATTAATATTCTGCTCGGTTCTGCAACTTGCCTCAAGCAGGAGACATAGAATTGAAGATGCTGTAGTAAACCTATTCAATTGGACTTATTTTATTTTATTTATTCTACATCGTCTAATTATTATTTACAGGCAGCATTACAACAATGGTTGCATCAGAACATGGCAGCAGTGGTGTCCATGTACGAAGATCGGTTTGACCTTTGCACGCTTGAAAGGCGAATATTTGAGGAATCTAACAGCAGCAAGGCTGATAATCTTGGTTGGTGGAAGAGGCTTGTTGTCAGGAGATCAGAACACATCTCATCATCGTTGAGTTTTGTCGTGATCACCCATGTCTCTGTATCTGTTAAGAGAACCAAAGAGTTGAGGATCTTGACTGGGTGGTATGTTCTAGTCCATTTAACCTTTGCTTTTCTCTCGGATGGTTATGTTTCTATTGCATTATCATATTCAACAGGGATGATTATGTTCTTATAATGCTTGTGGAACGATAGGAAAAAAATTTATCATCTGCTTTCGACATGTTAAATAATTCATTGACACAGTTAGAAGACAAGTTGTAGAAATTCCAACTTAAGAGTTTGAACGTTCTTCCTTAATGCAGGAGGTACTATTTCAGTCTGTTCCTGGAACTGGCTGACATCACAATGCCATTTGTAAAAGCAGTCATTGCTAAAGTGAGTGATGCCATCTCGTTTTTCCTAGTCTGTTTGATAGGTCGGTCTTTGGGACTAATCTACTCTGGAATTCGCAACTCCTTAAGCCGAAAGTAACGTTTTAATAAATACCATAGCCCGTCTTTGAGTTTCATTTCAATCTTTTTCTGCCTGATTATTTTTGAAAACTAACATTATGCAAACAAGCTTTTTTCCCCCCCCCCCCATTTATATTAGCCTTGGAGTGGAACTGTATTTTTACGTCCCGATATATTATTGGATTTCCAAGTGTAGAAGATTATCGGGAGAACATGCTTATGAACAATTGTTATCATCCATTGTCCTGAGCTATCTTATCTTACGTTTCCAGCAAGATATAATCCAGTTATTATATGAATATTATAGTGATTGACGAGAATAAAAGTAATTGTCGGGTACACAGGGAGAATTTGGTTTATTGGTCGAGTTCTTTCGTGTTGATGCTATCGAAGATTTGATGAGGATATATGTGGGCATGTGTTGGCTAATTTGTTCGTGAATTAGGATAGGTACATGTTAATATAAATGACATTTAAGGTTTTTTCTGATCATTAATGAGTTGGGTTGATCACAAATAGAATTGAATGAAGGATGGTGGAACGCGTAATTATAATCATAATTATACTAGTATAAATTATCATTTGACCAGAAAGTAGAAATCAAGGTGGTAAGCATAATTATAAAGTTGAAAATAGCTTTTTTTCTCCTCACCATGGACAATATGAAGTTTTTTTCACACTAATTGATAAGTTAATTTTTTCACCTATGAAAGTGCGAAGATATTGTGCGATGGATACGCAACAGTTGTGGAATTGCGAAAGTTAAAACTGTGAAGGTATTTGCAATTTCCGGTATAGAAAAAGTCAAAGAGCAGATAAATTGTGATGCATATATGCGATAATTATGTAATTGATATGCCGCTGTTAAGTGCACCATTTGTTTAACCTCTGCATTATTTTTATGAGGTGAAACTGTTAAATTATTTCGTGACTGATTTAAAAAGTCAAATAAGGTCATGCATAATATATTATGGTTATGTTTGGTAAAACTAGTTGATAAGTTAATTTATAGCTTATATGTAATTTTTGAGCTTATAGCTTATGACTTATAGCCGAAAAACTAGCTTATATGATAAAATTGTTTGGTAAAATTAGCTGATAAGCTAGCTGAGATAAAAAATTCGACGATCTTATTTGAAAAGTTACTCAAAGAAGCTTGAGATAAGCTCAAGTTTTTTTTTTTAAAAATTCATCCTACCAAACGAAACTTATTTAAATACAAGAAACTTATAAGTCAACTAAATAAACTATAAGCTAATTTATTTGTGTACTAAACACAGCCTAAGTAAGCGCCAAAGGAAAAACCTTTTTCTTCCTCCTTCATTTCCTATCATTTTTCTTCTTTGAATTATTTGTCCACGGAATCACCATTTTGGGGAACATCGGAAAATGACAAGCAATGTACAATCCTTTTTTTTTTTTTTTTGGTACAAAGCAATGTACAATCCTTAAAAGCATATACACAAACAAAAGTACGTCCCAAAGGATAAAATTGTGTACCCAGCAATCTTTACACAACATGCATATCTTTTTATAGAGAAAAATTTAGTTCTTGATTGACATTAAATTACTCTCTTTTCTATTCTCTATCAATCATGCCTGTTTTAATTGGGCAAGTATTAGAGAGGGGATAGAAAGCATTAATCGTAAAAGGCGGACAGAAAATAGAAAAGTAGAGCTCTACAAATTTGGTACATACTAACTATTACACAAAAATTTAGGATACTAAAATTACTATAAATATGATCCAATAAATATGTGTAAACACGTGAAAGGATGCTAGGAAAAAAAAATAAAAAAAATTGAAACATAATTAAATTCTTTAGGAATTCTGAAGTCTTACTCGAGTTAATAACATCGTCCTCTCTATATTTTAATTTAAAACGTGCCAGTCTAACACCTAGGCTTGAGGATTACAGTAAAATTATTTTATATATTTTTTCTTCTTAGATTACAATGTATGACCTTGCTTTTTATCATCACAAACTACATTTTTTTTTTCTTATTTCATTAATGTGTACTATTAATTTATTGTAAATATCTATTTTTCCTAAAATAGGCCTAACTTATAAGCCTAGTGAGCCACTCCTCCTTTCACCAATTGGTTTTGTAATGCAACCTCACTATGACACATCTAGGTTCACTCTGTCATGGTGCATTTCACGTGCGTGGGATCACACCTATTTCCCTCGATTTTTACAGTTATCAACACTATTCAACACTGTCGGTTGTATCTATTTTATTTATTTATTCATTAAACCGATTCAATCGGTTCGACCACTGGTCTGACCGCTGAACCATTGAACCGACCACATAAAAAGTACTCTCTTTGAAGGTTCAGTTTTCAGAACTATGATAATTACAACTCATACAAACCATTGAACTTTAATGCTAGTTATGATAATCTTGTTCTTATAAATCAAAAAACTCATATGATAATTACATGCCTGTTTTGGATCTCCGCGTCTATAGTGCCACAAGCGACTGGGGAGGAGGACTCTTTGTATTGGGAGCTATATGCGGATGGAAAGTTATCTACAAAGTCCGCTTACTCGGCCTTGATACCGTCTTCGGGGCGACACCATCCGGGTATATGGAAATTAATCTGTAAGTGGGAGGGGCCGCAACGAGTTCACCATTTCTTGTGGCTAGAAGCTCGCGAGGGCTTGTTGACTAATGCAAGCAGGTACCGGCTACATATGGCTACGAGCTCGGCATGCACGCCATGTATGGGGGACTATGAAACGACGCTTCACGCCTTACGGGATTGCCCAGCGACAACTCATACATGGAAGTCGTTAGTTCCTCGCACTCTGTGGGACTTTCTTCTCGTTGGAGTTTAGTAACTGGGAATTCCTTTTTGGTCTCACGGCTTGGCGCCTATGGCGATGGCGAAACCTACAAATTTTTCAAGGGACTGACCTACCATTGGTGCAACGGGTTGGTGAAGTAGTCTCTTATGTGGACAAAGTGCGCGGAGCCCGAGCCGGGTGCAGTAAGTAGGAGCATGTGGAGTGCGTGAAACACAATGAATTTCTTGGTCTTTCCCGGTGGAGGGCGAATTGAAGGTCAATACAGATGGAAGCGAAGCTTTGTCCTGGCGACGGGGATGGCTAGTGCGGGTGGTGTCATTCGAGACCACTCTAGGAATTGGGTGCGGGACTTTCTGATTATTATCAGATTCTGCTCTATCATAGGTGCAGAGTTATGGAGGTTGTTCCAGGGCCTCCAGTTGGCTTGGGATATTGGGGCCTGAAGAATTCAAGTTGAGGTTGACAACCAGAGCATCATGGCTATGGTCGCGGACGAGTCCTACTGTAGACCTTATGGGAGCATTTTGCAGGGGGTTCGGTAACTTATGCAACATTGGTCCGTGGAGATTGTGCATGGATATCGGGAAGTCAATTTTGCTGCAGACTATTTGGCTTCAATTCTTTGGCAGCTAAAAGTCCAGGTGGTCTTCACAGGTTGGAGTATCCTCTTCCGGGGACGGGCTTATGATTACATCATGATATGATCGGCATGTCCTATCTCCGAAAAGTTCTTAGATAGTTTGCTGCGTAGGCTTATCTTCCTTTCTTGTAAAAATGAAAAAACTTAGATTATATGTTTATCTAGTTGTATAATTGTATAATTATTACTACTTTTACATCGGGAAACTAAAAAATGCTGTGGGGTTGGTTTTTGCTGCTATTGGAGGGGTTTTATGCATGTTTGTGTCCTTTACTGGGATTTGAGAGCATGCTGAAATTGAGCAAATTACACCATTTCTTTTAAGTGGAAAAAAAAAAAAAAAAACTAAAGGGTTAGCTGTAACATTGGGCACTTCCCTGTTTTTGTGTCTTTTTAATTGCCAGCTGCTTTGTTGCTTTAGTGAATGTGACATCAAATGACATTTTGGACCAGTACTGAGACTCTTCGTGTTTGATTGAAGAAAAGCAACATGGTACCTTATTTATAATTTAGATATTATAGTTTGTGTGTTCACAAGTAGACATAGCCAAGGGCCGACTTGGACCGGCTCCCACAGCTGGCCCGTACCGGTTCTGTGAACCGAAACCGTGGCCATGCGGGTTGGTTCCGGTTCTTTAAATTTTTTTCTGGTCCCGACGGACTGGGTCACGGGTTGAAAGACGGGCAGCCTTTATAATTTTTTTTAAAGGGTCGGGCTGGGTTTGAACCGGCTGAAAACCGACAGGTTGGTGACCCGGCGATTTAGGGCTGGTTCAGAAATGGTCGGACAAGTAACGGGCCATCAAATTGAGGCATGTCGACCCGGCGGGCTAGGCCGGGCCGTGCCACGACCCGTCATTTAGCCAAGTCTAGTTCACAAGTATATTAAAAACAAATTCAATTTCAACATAAAATTTAACTCAACATTACAATTTTCGATATGATCAATAAATTAAATAATATCAATAAATTATTCTTACACATTAAACGAACGTTAATTCATATTCTTCTACTCACATAATTATTTTAGCTACAATCACTTTCAATCATGCATCTCATATTTTTGCATCAAATCAATTAATTTCAGTCATTTTGTTGAAATATTATTTTAATACAAACTTAAAATCTTACTAACAACTAACCATACTATTTTTTTTTTAAAACAAACCATAATTATCCAAAAAAATTAATTAAATATTAACATATTTGTTACCAAAACTTCCTGGATACGACTAAGGGAAAGTGATGTAGGGAAAAGCGTACGAATGGGAAGGATACAAGGAGATACTCTCTCCAGAACACGGGATACTCTCCCAAAAGAAAACACGATCAATTATTTTCATTCATCAAAATCTGCTCTTCACCAAAACAGAAAAGCCTTTAAATAAAGGCTTCAAACTCAACCCTAGCTTAATATCCAAGCAACTAATAATAATAATAATAATAATAATAATAATAATAATAATAATAAATATATATATATATACATATATATATATATATATATATATATATATATTCTTCATCAGAAAGTTACAAGCAATTTTGCTTGGTTGCTAGATATTTGAAGCACCAATGACCAATCTTTATGCACATTAGTATATAACATTAAATAACTTGGTTGCAATACATTGCACCAACCGTGACTTGTGCTTGCTAACCTAGAAAGTGGTGTGGTTGGTTTTGATGATTTGACATGAAATTTGGCATAGAGATTTATAGGGAGACAAGATATAGAATTGGGTCCCCTTGATGTGGTTTAGGTTGGAAATGGTAAACATATACGACCTGGACTCTATCAAGGGAAATTGAGGATGGTGCAAATATTGGATATATTTATTTATTTTTTTTTTTTTTTTTT